TTTTTGTACCTCTGCATGTCAAGCATGTCCTGCACTAATTGAAACTATTAATTTAGATGCAGTCTATATATAATAAATACATATTTTGTTCTTCAATTTTATATACAGAGAGATTGTTAAACATATGTCCGAATCCAGATAAATATAAAATATATATTTTATAAATTGTGTTTTTAAACTGCTGTCTGCAATAACTGCTTTTGATTGGTCAATCAGCCGCCCATTCGCCGATATCGGCTCATTTGGGTAACTGAAATCGGCGCCTACTTGTACGTATTTATACGTTTTTTTGTTGTTGTTGTTTATTTTTTTTAATGTTTATATATTATGTCTTTTCGTATCATTTGGCAGACTCGCATGCTCTCGTTTTGACCAAAGGCAACTCGCGCCATCTAAGTTCGCGAAAATGACTTCGGACTCGGAGTACTTTATTGTAGGATAACATTGTTTTTTTTAGCGTCAACTTTAAGATAATACACAGTTAAAGTGACAAAAATTATTTACATTAAAAGCAATATTTTATGCCACGTATTTATTTATGTGGTGAGTAGCCGTGCAGGATAATACTGTCAGACAATAATTTTTGCTATTTAGGCTTGTTATATTTATTATGTTATACATGCAGTTATATGACATAAAGATGAACTGAAAGATTACATTAAATATTTGTAAAAAATACATACATAAAATATTAACCTGCTAACATGCGGTGGAGACCAGAGGACATTTTTTTCATATTTAATACACAAGTAAAGTAATACTGTACGACATTAGTCTTGACAAACTATACATTATTAGAAAGGTCAAAGCCTTGAAATGCATTTGACCTCCGTTTTGTTACAAACATCTTATAGTCACTATCACTTTCTTGAAGTCCATGACTTTCATATGAAAAATGAACTATGCATCCACTGAGTGGGGAAAAAAACTGGTCTGCTTCTCATCAGAGTCCTTTACGTCCCTAAGGGCTTTTAATCCAAAAGTGTGCCTTTCTCAAAAGGATTCTTATGTTTACTTTAAACATAAGAGAGGAGTAATATTGTTTTCTATTTCAGTGGAAATAAATCTGTGATCGGAAATAAAGAATACCTTTAAATAAATATTGACCTGCTACGTCACTTAAAATGAAAATATTCTAGAATTCCACATAGCTGAATTACCTGCAATGCCACTGCAAATCCCCACATACAGTAAGTAGATGTTTAGCAGATGTAGATCGCATGGCTGAACTCAAGGGAGAAAAGCAGTTTAGTGAGCAGCAGTGTACCTAAATAATTGGGCACTTGAGGAAATGGTGACGAATATCTCTTAACACACTAGAAATGCTTCGATAATCAAATGCTAGCAGCACTAGAGGACTCTGCATATATAAGCACAGCACGTTTGACTGTATTTATGTAAAAGGGCCTTAAAAGATAATGAAGTTGCACTTAGTAGCACTAAATCATTATTGAAGCATCTTTCTCTTTGCTTCAGGGTTTTCTTTCAGGGTCCAACCAGGCAGCTATGATGGTTGGAAAGCCAGTCAGGC